AACCCTAAACCCTGAACCCCAATCTCTAAACCCTAAACCCTGAACCCTGAACCCTAATCTCTAAACCCTGAACCCCAAACTCTAAACCCTAAACCCTAAAACCCTAAACCCTAAACCCTAAACCGTCAGCTTTCAGCCATGGGCCTCTGTCCTCGAATACTAGGGAGACCCCTTCAACGGGACCCTTCTTAAGCCCACTTACTTATGGCTCTCTTAAAACGGGACCTTATTGAGAGGGTCTATGTCCCCAAAGGTCCCCTGACTCCTGATAAGGGTTTAGGGTTGAGGGTTTAGGGTTTAGGGTTTAGGGTTTTAACTACTTTGCAGTTACAGGTCGAAGTGTTATCGTGGAGGTGTGCCTGCCAGTCATGATTTGCATCGTTTTCACTGGATACTACAGTTGCTCAATCGAGCTGTGTACCCATGTGAGACTTCTTCAAAGGCGAGATAAAAGCACACAGGTTAATTGAGCATTGAGGTTACGTGCCTGTCATGCGCACTTGACCCTAAACCCCCTTTCACTGGCACACAAACGTTGTTGCTGCGTTCCTTTCGTGACTGGGCTCCAAAAGCCTGAAGCTTCAGAACATCTGTACCTAACTGCCTGCCTGCCTACCTACCTACCTACCTACCTACCTTCCTACCTACCTACCTACCTACCTACCTACCTACCTACCTTCCTACCTACATTACATACTTACATTACATGCCTACATTACATGCCTACATTACATGCCTACATGTCTGCATACCTCCCTACAAAACATCCACCCATTCATGCATCCATCCATCGGTCCGTCCGTCCATCCACACATCCATCCGTCCATCCATGCATGTATGTATGCATGCATGCATACATGTCACATTTATACATGCAGACTTCCAAGACAATTGTCATCCTATATGTTCAGATAAAAATAACAGAGCGTGCTACAAGGATAAAATCACAGCGCATGCTACACGGCAATCGCGGTAGCATATGGTTATTTGTTAAAGAGCAGCGCAGGAGCTTAAAGGATTTTTGTGGTACAGACTGACCTAGGGTGAAAGGTTTAGGATTCAAGGATTAGGGTTTAGGGTTTCGGGTGCACCTAGATCCTCAACCAAAAGATGCAATACCCACAGCCCGATGCCCTGAACGGCACGGGGAGGTGCTGTGTTGTCTAGTTGTCTGCGTCCCAGACCCCCCCCCCCTCCTCCCCCAAAAGCCCCCCCCCAATAAAAACACAACCCAAAACCCAAAACTGAAGAACAAAAAAAAACAAAACCCAAAACTGAAGAACCCCCCCAAACAAAAAAAACAACACTTTCAAAAAAGCAGAGGCTGCTGGGAGCAGGCTCTGCACTGGTTTGCTGCCATGCCAAGGCACCAGTTGCTTGGACCATACTTGATTGGGTTCTTGTTTAGGAACTTGAGTATACCTTAACCTAAACCCTAAACCCTAAACCCTAACCAAAACCTAGGGTCGCTGTTTAAATTTCATGTTAGGGCTTATAATAAGAGCCTACCAAAAAAAGTAGGTTTTGGTAGAGTTTAGGGTTGAGGGTTTTAAGGTGTGGGTTCAGAGTTTGGGGATTCAGGGACCCTAAACCCCGAAACCGAAACCACAGTTTAGGGTTGAGGGATTTAGGGTTCCAGAACCCTAAACCCTAAACCCTAAACCCCTAAACCCTAAACCCCTAAACCCTAAACCCTAAACCCCTAAACCCCATAAGCCATAAACCCTAAACCCAGGGTTCTAGAAGGTTTGGGTGCGACTTGGGAGTTCTTTGCCTGGAGTCCTGAACCCGAACCCTGTGGCATGTACCACCGTCGCCGACATGCCAAGACAGACAGCTCTGTGAGCATACTGAGAAGGCTGTGTGAAAGAGTGTGTGTGTGTGTGTACATGTATATATATATATGTATATATATATATATTATATGATCCATATCTAGTATCCATATATATATATATAGAGAGAGAGAGAGGATTGGACCTATGGCCCTGTAGTGGTGCATGTGTTCTATTTGTATGTGTAAGTGTTTGTGTATATATATATATATATATATGCTTTTGTAACTGCTGTATTTATAGCACGCACAACCATATCCTCGCGTGTAGCTGTAGGGCTGTAGTATAGCAACTTATGCATCAGATGTCTAAATGGTCTTCCAGCTGTGATTGAAGGTCTAAGCTTTAAGGCTGGTTCGAGGAGGTCCTGGACAATGGAACAAGGGTTTGGATAAACTGCGTTCTACATAAAGGTGTGTTTGAGACAATTGTCGTCCCAATCAATTTCAGGTTCTTGCTGCATTTTGACGGTATGAGTCGGCGACCCTAAACCCTAAACCCTAAACCCTAAACCGTTGAAACTCTACCAAGGCTTCGCCCAGACATTTGCAGCTACGGTGCCACCATCAGTGCCTGCTCCAAGGCCGTGTCGGGCTCGGGTTTAGGGTTTAGGGTTTTGGGTTTAGGGCTTTGGATTTTGGGTTTAGGGTTTNNTTAGGGTTTAGAGTTTAGGGTTAGCGGGGTGTGCTGTCACTCTTGCAGCTTCTATGAAACTGTTGGGCTGCTACCGTGATAATGAAGATACTAGAGATGCAGAAGGGATCTGACCCTCACAAATGCTAGGCTTACATCTGTTCCTCCCCTCCCCTCCCCT